GCAGGGAGCCCGATGCGGGGCTCGATCCCAGGACCCTGGGATCATGACCCAAGCTGAAGGCAGACGCTTAACGACTGAGCCACCCAGGCGCCCCTAATTAAGTTTTTAATTTTAATTCCATTTACAGTTAACACAAAGTATTTGTTAGTTTCAGGTGTGCAATATAGTGATTCAACACTTCATACATCACCCAGTGCTCATCATGATAAGTGTAGTCTGTGATTCCCAGCACCTATTTCATGCATCCCCCCACCCACCTCCCCTCTGGTCACCATCAGTTTGTTCTCTGTAGTTAAGAGTCTGTTTCTTGGTTTGCCTCTCTCTCTGTTTTCCCCCTTTGTTCATTTGTTTTGTTTCTTAAATTCCACATACGGGAAAATCCTATATTTGTCTTTCTCTGACTAATTTATTTTGCATAGCATTATACTCTCTAGCTCCATCTGTGTTGTTGCAAATCTCAAGATTTTATTCTTTTTTATGGCAGAATAATATGTCATATACAACATCTTCTTTATGCATTCATCAGTTGGTGGACATTTGGGCTCTTGCCATAATTTGGTTATTGTAGATAATGTTGCTCTAAACACTGGAGTGCAGGTATCCCTTTGAATCTGTATTTTTGTATCCTTTGGGTAAATACCTAGTAGTGCAATTGCTGGGCTGTAGGGTAGCTCTATTTTCAACTTTTTGAGGAACCTCCATACTTTGTCCAGAGTGGCTGCAGCAGCTTACATTCCCACCAACAGTGTAGGAGGGTTCCCCTTTCTCTGCATCCCCGCCAACATCTGTCATTTCCTGACTTGTTAATTTTAGCCATTCTGACTGGTGTGAGGTGGTATCTCATTGAGGTTTTGATTTGGATTTCCCTGATGCCAAGCAATGTTGAGCACTTTTTCATGTGTCTATTGACCATTTGGATGTCTTCTTTGGAGAAATGTCTGTTCATGTCTTCTGCCCACTTTTAATTGGATTATTTGGGTTTTGTGGTTTTTTGTTTGTTTTTTGGTGTTGTCTTGCCTATGTTTCTGGTAAATTCTTACTTCTGTTCCACTCTTGGTAAACAAAGGAGTCCATGAAGAGATCAATTGGTGTAATGGTGAAGGAAGTAGAGCAGGTAACCTGTAGAAGTGTTCAAGACAAATGGCATTTGAGTTTTATAAACACCTCAGTCATGGCATAGCTATTTCAGCTGCTTCTATAGATGAAGGAATAGGCTTCCTTCACCTTAGGAAGAATTTCCTCCACCACAGGAATATAGTTTCATAAAGACAGTGCAGTTTTCCTGGAAGAATTTTGAAAGACACAGGCCCTTATGAATTAGTGGATGTTCATTCAGCACAGTCCTTATTGAAATACATGCTTTAGTGACATTATCAATAATATCAAAGACGCTTCAATTCTCAGAAAGGCTAAGGTGGGGAGAACTTTGCCTTTCAGTGGGTGTGGAGTCCTATCTGAATTTTAATAATTTGAATAACTTCTCTTAATAAGGAAAGTGAAAGCTTCAGTAATTTAATAACTGCATCATAATGGGAGTCCCACATGTGTGGCTCATTCCTCTCCTGGATGCATGATCTTATTAGGCAGAGTTATAATAAATGGGAAAGCCAGAGAAAGTTTTCATTAATGAAATTAGCAGTTACTCCCTCCAAATCTCTTGGTTGCTCCCGTGACCTGACTCGGCCTCCTGGCTAATGGCTGAGTGATGGAGATTCAGGTGGGCTCTAGCTTCGCTTCTGAGATGTGTTGTCTGCATCACATGTGTGGCGGCGGCAGCAGTTGCAGGGAGGGAGAGGACGGGCGAGGAGGGAGTTGTAGTGCAAGTCATGACCCAGTGTTTCCAAGTCTTGGTCTGTCTCCAAACTTGACATTATTTTGGTGTTTGATAGGGTGATTGCCACACTTGCCCCAAGTCTAGAATTGTACAGGTGCCTAGCACTTAGTAAGCACCTCAGAACTTACATGTTTAGTAAATGAGAGAATGGGGTGCCTGGCTGCCTGTCTGCGGAGCACGCGACTCTTGACCTCAGGGTCGTGAGTTCAAGCTCCACACTGGGTGTAGAGATTACTTAAATAAATACACTTGAAAAAAATGTGAGAGAATGAATGAATGAATGGCTAAGTAAAAACACACACAAAAACAAAACAAAAACCACCCCCCAAAACCCCCAAAATAGCAATTGAGAATGACAACACAGATTCTTAATCACACCTACTGAATCAAAGTTTCCAGGGGAGAAGCCTCGTAACCTGTATATTTAACAAGCATCCCGCAGATGAGTCCTAACAGCCTGATGTGGGGCACACTGCCTTAGGGCAGAGGTTTCCAAACTTAGTGAGTGATAAGAGTCACAGGGAGAGTTTTTAAGACTCATAGCTTTCTGAGCCTTACTTTGGACTTCCTGAATCAGGGTGAAGATCCAAGAATCTGTGTTCCTAAGACAACTGATGGTTTTAAGATATGGGAACCACTACAGCAGAATATGTTGGGCTGAATTTGCTCACACATGGAATTGAGGTTGGACTTAATGGGTAATGAGATTAGCTTGTTTTTTTGTTTTTTTGTTTTTTAATATCCTTTTCTCGTTTGAGTGACATAGTTCTATGTATTTGTCAAAACTGTGCATTTTGCTCTATGTAAATTTTATCACAAATACATGTGAAGAGATATTGAATTCTAGTTAATAATATGCATGCTGAACTATTTAAGGGAGAAGTGTACTGATGACTGAAGCATACTTTGAAATGCATCAAAAATAAGATGGAAGGATGAATAGATATGTGATTAAGCAAACAGAGCATCATTGTAGAATCTAGGTGAACAGTGTATGGGTCTTCACTCTATAGTCTTTTCAATATACTGTTTGAAAATGTTTATAACATGTTGAGGAGACAATCCCTTAAAGCACACAGGCACGACCCTAAAGCACGCCATGTGATTTATGCAGATCAGAATTTGGGACCCATTTAAACTTAACTGACAGATATATCAATTTTGGGGCTGTTCGTCATCATTTCACAGTTTCATAGAAAAAGGGTAAGAAGTGGGAAAAGGTTGTTTTTGGCTTTTGTCCAGGAAATCTCTCTCAAGCATGTGTCATTTTACATATGAAAACTTTTGGAAACAGAAATACCTTCAGCCTGTATTCAGTGTAAAGACAAAAGGCTTTCCATGGTCAAGGCTCAGTTTCCTCATCTATAAAATGGGGACAGTAACACTCACTTCAGGCTTATGGTTGCTATCTTGTTATTTAACTTGTGATAGGCTATGATATTTCAATTTCTCTTAATTGCAAGTAAAACACAAGCATTATAGATTCTAAAACAAAATCAAAGTGAAATAAAATCTTAGTCTCATACTTTGGTGATAACCCGTTAAAATTTTAGTATTTATTCTTCAGAGTGTCTTCCTTCATAAGATATATATACATAAACACTTTGTCACATTTTTTTAAATAAAAATGGAATATCATTATTATGTAGCTTGCTTTTTTGACTTAATATTTTTTAATGTTTACCCAATTTAGCAAATATAAATTTACATACATTTGAAGTGTCTGTAAAACTTGCTTAACTGATCCTCTGTTGTTGGATGTTAGTTTATTGCCTATGTTTTTCTTTTTTCTTGCATAAACAGTGCTGAGATGAATCCATATATATATGCAAATTATATACTAGGCACATTCATCCAGTGATTTCCTTGACACAACGGGGAGGGTCTCTTCTAAATTGGGGAGGTCAAGGTTAGTGACACAAGACCCCCTATCTGCTTTGCAGGTTTTCATGCCCCTACCATGTCCTGGCCGGTGGCAGGGACTCTCATGGTTGAGCCCACTGAGTCAGAAGACAAGGCAGAGCTGGATAGATTCTGTGATGCCATGATCAGCATTCGGCAGGAAATTGCTGACATCGAGGAGGGCCGCATTGACCCCAGGGTCAATCCACTGAAGGTGTGTAGGCGCTGGTACCCTATCCGAAATGTCCCATAGAGAAGACTGGGTATGGACAGGGTGCCAGCAACCCCTGAACTCCCATCAGAAGGTGAGATTATTCTTGCCTAGATTAAGACTATTCTTCTGAACAAATTCATTGCTTGCAAATTTAAATCTTCTTGAACAACATAGTAGCAGTTACTCAAGTATAAAGTGGATGTTTTGAGATATGTTTTAATTTTGTTTATGTAATTATTTTGTCATTGTGGGAGGTATACCTCCCACGTGCACCCGACTGGTTGCCAAAGGAGGGAGCAGAGGCTGAAGAGCTATCTATTTGGGGAGTCTTATTCTTATTCTATGTCTCTGTTTGATGCACTCTAGTGAGATTATTTACCTCACAAACTCTGGATAAAGACAAGTTCTTATATTGGAGTAGTTATCTCTTAGAACAACTAACTGGTACTTGGCCTTTTATAATGTTATGGCCTATTTTTGGAGAAAATCTGAAACATGTTTATTGTGAGCTGTAAGTCTCTCGTTAGGTCCAGGCATTATTAAGCTGGTGGGGGGGGTCATGAATTGAAAATACTGTGAAGACTGTGGTTGCACTATTATGGCCCCAAGCCAGAGAACAAGTCTGAGATGCTTGGGGAAGCTCAGGCAAGTTCCAAGGTGCCCAGCTGAAGGTGGAGTACCCAGGCCAGTGGCTGGCAGGAGAAGGCATCTTGCTTATTATTATTTCTCTTTTCTGTGGATACTGCTGATTCTTTAAGGATTTAGGCCATTTTTAAAACTGGCAATAGACATCTAAAGAACATAATACTGAGTTACAAAAACAAGTGGAGAATAATACAGGATGATAAGATTTTAAAATGTGCCCAACTATGCTATATGCTATTTATGCATATATGCAGTAATAGTATAAAAACAATCAGCATGGTGAACACCAAATTCATGATAGTGGTTATCACCGGGGAGTAGGGTAAGAGATGAGATGGAGGGGATATATAGGCATCTTCAGATGTATCTGCAACATTGTTTTATTCATTTTATTTGACACAGAGAAAGAGCCCAAGCAGGGAGAGGGGGCGGGCAGAGGGAAAAGCAGGCTCCCCTTGGAGCAACCCAGGACCCCAGGATCATGACCTGAGCCAAAGGCAGATGCTCATCCGACTGAGCCACCCAGGCACCCCTGTTTTATTTATTTATTTATTTTTAAGACTTCTTTATTTTGAGAGAGACAGTGAGCACAAGTTGGGGTGGGGAGGGGCAGAGGGAGAGGGAGAATCTCAAGCTGACTCCTGGCTAAGCATGGAGCCTGGCACAGGGCTCAGTCCCAGGACCCTGAGATCATGACCTGAGCCAAAACCACGAGTCGGACACTTAACTAATGGAGCCACCCAGGTGCCCCTCTGCGATGTTTATTTTAAAAGATTAAGCAAATATGACAAAATGTTGATTTATGTTGGCTGGGTGGTAGATGTTCTAATATATTACCATAACTTTCTGATATTTGAAATATTTCACAATAAAGTTTCCTATCAACATTTTTTCCCCCTTAAGTTGAAATTAAACAAAACAACCACGCTGTGTCCCTGGGATTCCATCAGCTCACTGGCTGAACAAAGCACAGGAGGAGAAGGCAGTATTCTCTCTGATCCCTTTCCCATCTGTGTCTGTTTCAGATGTCTCCACATTCCCTGACCTGTGTCACATCCTCCCACTGGGATCGGCCTTATTCCAGAGAGGTGGCAGCTTTCCCACTTGTAAGTTCTCCTCTGAAGCTGCCTGTGCCGGGTAGTAGAGTGTTCATGTGCATATGAGGGGCCATCACCCATCTGATGGGGCTCCCGTCCTTGCAGCCTCATTATAGTAACTCTATGTGGGACGCTTTATTTTTTTTTTAAAGATTTTATTTATTTATTTGACAGAGACACAGCAAGAGAGGGAACACAAGCAGGGGGAGTGGGAGAGGGAGAAGCAGGCTTCCTGCTGAGCAGAGCGCCAATGTGGGGCTCGATCCCAGGACCCTGGGATCATGACCTGAGCCGAAGGCAGATGCTCCACCACTGAGCCACCAGGCGCCCCGGGACACTTTTTTTAAAAATATAGATTTTATTTATTTATTTACTGGAGTGAGTGAGAAAGAGAGAGCTTTTGTGGGGGTTGGGGGGAGGAGCAGAGGGAGAGGTACAAGCAGCATGGAGTTCAATCTCATGCCTGAGATCATGACCTGAGCTGAAATCAAGAGTTGGATGCTTAACCCATTGAGCCACCCAGGCACCCCTATGTGGGACACTTTCCTAAATAGGTCATGACAAGTGATGCAGAGCACAGGCTTTGGCTTTCAGGGCTCTGAGGTCAGAGTGTCAGCCATAGGCTTGGGAATCCACTGGGTACACAGTGGAGGAAGACCAAATAGGAGTCCCTGTCAAATTTCTACTGTCGCCCCAAATGCACCAAAACAGTCTTTGTTTCCTTTCTGAGTCTTACGTTTGAAAAAGGTACTCCATAGTATGGCAGGGTGGAGACAAGAGTCAAAAGTTGGATTTGGGGGGACAATAATGAAGGGGTGGCTTATAGCTTTTTTTTGTATTGGAATATAGTTGACACATAATGTTACATTAGTTTCAGGTATACCACATAGTGATTTGACAACTTGATACATTATGCTATGCTCACCACAAGTGTAGCTACCATCTGTCACCATAACAAATGCTATTACAATACATTGACTCTATTTCCTATGTGGTACCTTTTATCCCCCTGACTTACCCCTTCCATACTTGGAAGCCTGTATTTCCCACTCCCCTTTACCCATTTTGCCCATCCCCCACACCCTCCCCTCTGGCAACTATCAGTTCTCTGTATTTATGGGTCTGTTTCTTTTTTCTGTGTTTTTAGATCCATGTAAGTGAAATCCTATGGTATTTGTCTTTCTCTGTTTGATGTATTTCACTTAGCATAATACTCTCTAGGTCCCATGTTGTCGTAAATGGCAAGATCTCATTCTTTTTCATGGCTGAGTGATAGTCCAGTGTATATGTGTGCACACACATGTGTGTATACATACATATACATACACATCTTTATCATCTGTTGGACACGGGTTACTTCCATATTTTGGCTACCATAAATAAAGCTGCAATAAAAAATAGGAGTGTCGGTTTTACCTTCTTCTACTTTAGGGCACTTATTGGGGTTAGGCTGTGGGATATCACTGCAGTCTCCTCTTTCCCCAAGAGAAATGTTTCAGAATACCCCAGAACATTTCCATCTTTTGTCCCTTGCAGCCCTTTGTGAAACCAGAGAACAAATTCTGGCCAACCATTGCCCGGATTGATGACATCTATGGAGACCAGCACCTGGTTTGTACCTGCCCACCCATGGAAGTTTATGAGTCCCCATTTTCTGAACAGAAGAGGGCCTCTTCTTAGTCCTGTCTCCCTAAGTTCAAGCGACTGACTTGATGTCTTTCTCTGGAGCATTTGATGAGCAAGAACTATATAATTTCCCATCCCAGACTCAACTTGGGGTTTTATATACCGTGTATATTTTTGTAATCTCTGTCAAGGTAAATGTAAATACTATTAGCATAGTGAGTGGAAACTCGTTGGAAGACCAACATGCCTCAGTGCCTGCTTCCACATGTAGCAGTTGATGTTCCAGTTGCCTGGATTAGGAACCACTTAGTTTTTTTTCATAGAAAATTTTGGGTGTGCTAGGAACTTTAACTTTCAATGTAGGAAGTTCAGAGACATTATAGAGGTTATATTGTAGACTCCGATAGATTCTTGGTCCAAATAAGTCCTTGTGGACTGTGCTATCTGTGAGGAATCCCAGGGCAAATGTTTACATTTTCTATACATTGAAGAAAATTTTTCTCTAATTTGCCTAATCTGTAATAGCATTTCTGAATGTTTTCCCTTTCCCATGTGTGTGGTTTCCTTTTATCTGCAATTATTAGTATTCTAATAAAAGCATTTCAATTTGAAGAATGCCTTCTTGGTCCATTTTTCATGCTTATTTCCACATAGCCTAAGTTCAGAGAGATTTGAAGGGCAATGAGAATACCCAACCCAATAGCCATTTTTACATTAATCAGTTTTGTCTAGCAGTTTTTCTCATTAGACACTAAGTCCAGAGATAATAAGCCAAGGTCTAGTGTTCCTCAGTCTTTCTGTTGTGCCTTTCTTTGTATGTAATCTTCATCCTCATAGTCTTAAGATGGCTCCTGCATATTGACATCACATAACCATTCTAGATAGGAAAAAGGGAGAAAAACCAAAGAAGAAAGGCAAATTCCATCCACATTGACTTCTTTTGAAATGCTTTCTCAGAGACTCCACCCAGTAACTTCTGCTTGCTTTTGGCCAGAATTGTTTCACATTGCCACGTCTACCTGGGTATGTTAGTGCCCCAGAGGAAGTCAGGAGTTTGTTAGATAAATAAAAGGGGGGATATGGGTTTCAGGTAGGCAACTAGCCTGGCTGCCACAAAATAACTTTCCCCTAGATACAGCAAATGCTTCAGATTTTCTTCCCTGATTGTGAGCACTTGTTCGATTACTTGGTTCTTTGCATGGCAGCTTACTCAATCATTATTCAAGCTATTATGATAGTCAACTGAAGAAAGGTCTTAGTACTCTATTGAATGCTCTGCAAGCGGTTCACTTATTCTCACACTTCAAATGTTTGTAGAACAATTTATTTCAGCCTAACTAAGCAGTAGAGAAATGATGGGATCCATGTTTGTTTGTTTGTTTTTACATTATAATTAAATGGTTAATATTTATTGAGTTCTTCTCTGGGGTTAGGTACTATTCGAAGTGTTTAAAATGTACTATCTCATTGGAACCTCACAACAGTCCACTTTTACACAAGAGGGTATGGCGAGATGCCCAAGGTCACACAGCTGATTCAAGGGAGAACCTGAATTTGAACCCAGGCTGCAGAACTCCAGTGGCAGCTGGTCAAAACAGGTTACCACACTGCCATGGTCACTATATCCCTGGAGATCTGCCTCCCTGAGCTGGAAACCAGGCTCTCAACACAGACTAGCCCTCAGGGTATGGAATAGTGCCTTCGGAGGAAGGACAGCATATGGAAACAAATCATCAAAGGTGAACAGCAGCTCTTTTCTTTTCACTGTAAAGTATATCAGAGGCAAATGCAGGTGATTATTCAAATTGTCCTTCACTATTAAGTTGCTCGTATGTTCACCTGATGCTTGTGCACATCTTTCCTACCTCTGGGTCTTTGCCCGAGTGGTGTCCTCCACCTGGAGCACTCTCCCCTGCTCCCTTTGCTTTACTGGCTCCTGTTTGTTCATTTTAGCATTTCCTCAAGAAGGTCTTCCACAGTCCCCCACCCCCCACCCCCAGAGTAGCTATGAGCAAGCGGAACCAGGTTTCATACGTGCGGCAGGCCGAACCGGCGTTCCTGGCCCGCTTCAAGGAATGGGTCAGCTACAGGTAAGGGCCTACCGTGGAAACCAAGGTGAGCCCAGGCCAGTCGCGTTACCTCAGAAACACGGGTTGCCCTGCCACCTCTGGCTTCTGCCTGGACTTGGAGGCCAGGCACTGACGGTTCCTCACTCTCACCTGCGCCCAGCTGCGAATCTGGATGGGCCTGAGTCCAGGCTGGTCCTTTTCGAACAACTACAGCCTTGTATGCCCAGGAAGCTATTTGTCGTTGTTCATCATGCTGCTGTGTTCTTGAAAATGACTTGATGCTGGTAAAGCGCTTCGTCCTTGATAGATGGTTCAGAAAGATCACTTTCCTCTCTCATCTTATTTGCTTAACCCAAAACCTATAGTTAGCAGGATGAGTGGTAGCTTAGTCCCGTTTTCCAGATAAAGAAACGGAGGCCACTCGATCAAATGACCTGATGTCCTAGGCCTGGAGTCTGCAGCATCTTTGGAAGAATGCCCTAGATCTATTTTTATGCTTTGTTGTTTACCACACCCCTCTCCCCCCCAAAAAAACAAGCATGTTTAAGAATACCCTGGATCGGGGCACCTGGGTGGCTCAGATAGTTAAGCATCTGCCTTCAGCTCAGGTCATGATCTCAGGGTCCTGGGATCGAGTTCCACATTGGGCTCCTTGCTTGGCAGGGAGCCTGCTGCTCCCTCTGCCTGCCACTCTCCCTGCTTGTACTCTCCCTCTCTCTCCCTCTGGCAAATAAATAAATAAAATCTTAAAAAAAAAAAAAAATCCTGGATCTAGGGAGCCCTGGGTGGCTCAGTTGGTTAAGCAGCTGCCTTTGGTTGGGGTCATGATCTTAGGGTCCTGGGATCAAGCCCCATATCTGGCTCCCCACTCAGTGGCTCAGTGGGGAGTCTGCTTCTCCCTCTCCCTCTGATCCTCGTCCCTGCTTGTGTTGTCTCAAATAAATGGATAAAATCTTTAAAAAATCTTGGATCTAAATAGAAGAGGAGCTTCAGGAAAGAGCAAATCCTGAATAGTTTAGGGATGAGGACTGGTGGGAATCAATTTCTGAGCCCTCCCAGGGGCTAACTGGTTCACACCAAAACCTGCCCTCCTTCTTTCAATAGGAAGAGACTGTTACGCTTAGGGATTCTGTGGAGAAATCAAGAATTCATTTAGAAAAAAAAGAAAAAGGTCTTCCACACGTCTGTGAAATGTGCTATTATTTTGTATCTTGGCATTCAGCTTGCTTGCCTTTACCCTTACCACAATTAGTAATTACCCTGTTTCCTTGGTTTTCTTCTGCTTCACCAGACTAAGTTCCCTGAGAGCAGGGACCATATCTCATTCATCATTGGATTCCCAGTGCTGAGCCAGGGTCTTCCACAGAGGGTATGTTCAACCGCAGGAAATAGGAATTGAGTAAAGGAATGATCTTTCATCTTAAAGAGGGGCACTGTCATGGAAACCAGTATTTCCTGCTGTAATACCTACTGCAAGTAGTTGTTAAAGTACAAAATGCCAGGCCTTAAAGACAAGGCACACAGGCTTTGTACAGGATGCCCGCCCCGCGCCCCCATCCCCAGCTCTTTTTTATTGTGGTAAAATATACATAAAATTTACCATTTAAAATTATTCAATTCAATAGCATTAAATACTTATACAGTGTTGTGTCAAATGTGCCTTTTGAGCAATTTTGAAGATGAGGATCTGAGGTAGACATGCACAGACTTCATATAAATGGGGCACTGCCCTCTGCCTTCTCCCAGCCCTGGGGCTGGCCACCGTTGGAACAATCATTGCCTTGCTGCTGTGTATGATAGAGGGCAAGGGCCCAGTGTGGAAACCCCATGAAACCTCTATATAAATACAGGGGCCAAGTTTTCCAATGACAAAACTGGTGCCTCTCATCCAAATAAAGGATGTAGGTACCACTTTTGGGTACAAGAAGCCATCTGGGACAAGTAGTTTGGGAGCTGAGGTGTTAGCACTTTTAGAGGTTCACAGGGCTCTGGGTCAGAATGTTTAGTAGGGTTTTTAATTGGCCAAGGTCAGGTATGTGTCCTAGGGCAGTAATTTTCAAACCTTAGTGTGTACGGACTACTAGGAGGGCTTGTTAGGCCCTGGCGTCAGAGTTTGATACAGTTCTTAGGCAGAGCCAGAGAATCTGCATTTCTAACATGTTCCAGGTACTACTTCTCAGCCTTCTTTGTTCACATTTCAAACAGTAAAGGATGGGTTTGGGGAGGCTGAAGGTGGGTAAGAGGCTGGACTTTGTCAGCCTTGCATTTTTTTTTTAATTTTTAAAATTTTTTAAAGATTTTATTTATTTATTTGACAGAGACACAGCGAGAGAGGGAACACAAGCAGGGGGAGCAGGAGAGGGAGAAGCAGGCTTCCCGTGGAGCAGGGAGCCCGATACGGGGCTCGATTCCAGGATCCCGGGATCATGACCCGAGCCGAAGGCAGACGCCCAACGACTGAGCCACCCAGGCACCCCTAGCCTTGCATTTTTTGTGCAAATCTTACCATTTCGAAAAAAATCCCTCTTTCCCTTGCTTTCATTGAGGATCCTATGGCAGGAGGAGGCTATTCAGGAGTAGAAGCAAACCAGCGCTTTGGCCACGCTCTCTCATCTGGTAGGCTTGTTCCTACCAGCATTGCATCCAGAATCAAGGAATTTTTTTTTTTTGAGTTCAAAATAGTCAGCTTTATTGCTAATAAAGCTGATTGGTAAATGCCGTTTTAGTTGAGACCACTAAGGCTTGCTCTCCATTTTTGTCCCTCCAGTGCTTCGCCAGTCTAAGCCTGGGATACCACTCAGGGAAACTGAGTCTGTCTAGCAGATGCACCAGAGCAGAAGTGCTGCCCCATGCTGACCCCAGGTGAACAGGGAGGATACAGAGGGGGGTCTCCCCAGCGCTAGTGGAGTACCATGGATGAACTGTCTCCTCTACGGAGAGCAGTGAGAAGTAGGCCAGGAGGGAGGACTGTCCCATTACCTGAGGTCATTCCATGAAGAAAACAAAATCCCGGAAGCAGGAGTTAGTGCCCAACGCACAGTATACCACTCTTGTGTATCTGTTTAATTTCCTGCTGATGAGAGTAGTGCGGGATGGCAATTGGAGTTACTTGCTTCCAGCTTCCCCATATCCTAGCTGTAGGACCTTAGAGAGGATAAATGGCATCTCTCAGCCTGTCTTCTTACCTGTAAAATGGTACTACCTACCGCTCCTAGGTGAAGGTTCAATATATTGCTCCAAACAGTGCCTGACACAGCGTGTTGTTAGCTCTTATTCTCAACTCCAACCCCAGTTTGACCTACCTTGCATTCAGATCCATTACCTTTCCTTTTCTTTCCATTCCTAAGCACCCTTTTCCTCTGGACGGCCAGAGAAAGTAGAAGGAATATGGGCTGTGACTTCATACAGATCTAGACTGAATTCTCAGATATGCCAATTGTTTCGAGACAATAGGCAAATTCACTTATCCTTTGTGCACTTCAGTTTGTTAAGGTATAAAATAACAATAATAGAGTAATCAGGCTTGTTGTAAGGATTAAATGA